TTTATTGCTAATTGCAGGAGTTTTTTTTAGGAAAGCTAATGGTCGTCGGAAAGGGCAGAACAACGTCTGCCAGGTCAGCTAGTATTATGTATATTACATATATGGAGTATTATTAAAAATATGTTTTAAAAAGAAACCTATTATATTTTACAGACCAAACAATCGATTGCTGACCAAATATTTTTATAAATAGTTAATTGAGCGCGTGTGCGTGATAATTTTTTTGCCGGATAAGGGTGACAAACGAGCCCGTAGTCCACCTGATGGTAAGTGGTTGCTGTGGCCCATAGACATCTACATCTATCCTCGATTACTAATCAAAATGCAGGAGGACTAATATGGAATGCCTCGTTTCGATTAAAAAGGGTCTCCGGTTTTCTACACTCAACATAAGTAACACAGAAGCGTTAAGCTGCTATTTTTCGCTGGTATCACAGTTTAAATTCTGTGAAAGTGTTGTCTTCGCCGGCCGAGCCGACCCATTCGTGCTACAAATATGCCATTAATATAGTTGCCAGTATTACGTGGTAGAGCTATGCTGTAGCATGCGGCATGACTCTACCACGAAAAATATTTGGTCAACCGTGTTGCTATGTTTCCCTAGCTATAATATTTTATCAAAAGTGTGCAGCATTGAGTTATACAAGACAACATATAAATAAATGGTGTGCAGTACCAGCGGGGAGCTGACTTTGCATGCTATGCCCCCTTACCCATGCTACTGTAATTTTCTTTTAATCATAATATTGTATTAGGCCGTTCTGTTATAGAATTGGTGCAAGGAGTGTCCTTGACAACATACCCACGCTTATTATCATAACAACTCACCTCCTTGACGTAATCCTACGCCTACAAAAACGACAGTATTGCGTTCAAGAGCGTCAACATTATGTTGGCGCCATGACATCACCGCGGGATCGCCATATTTGGTCAACTTGCGACTTCTCATTCAGAAAAGCCTGCATAATTTAAACTATATTAATAGTACATTATCGTAACGATACATTGAATAATTAACGTATTTATATATATTAATACAATTTAAGTTAACAGAATTTTTGGGAATTTTATGTTTTTTTTTTGTATTATTATTATTATTTTTTTGAATTAGTAACTACACCTACGTTACCCAAACTTTGATGTCCCTCCTAAAGCTGGCACTCTTATTTTTGCTCCCATAAATTATATCACATTCTATTTGTTACTGCGTTCAAAAACCGAAATACTAACGAGGTATTTACTCCTTGCTACGAATACAGAAACCAAAACTGACGCCGATTTGTCAATTCTTGAGAAAACACATTTTACTTTTATAAAAAGGCGTAAGGTGAACAAAATCACAGAGCGACCAAAGTTTTTTGAGAAAAGTGATTTTTATGTGTTTAACTTATTTTCTGGGTTTTTGATATTTGTTTGTGGTTAATTTATAGAATACATATCCGTGCAGTGGCGGTGTCCACTACCTCATATCGTCCCGTGGGTGTCGTAAGAGGAGACAAACGAAAACTGAAACTGGAGATGGGCGGCAGCATTTCCCTAATAAGAACTCCAAATAATAACCAACTACGGTTGCCAACCCGCCTACCAAGCGTGGCAACTATGGCAAAATTTCAGAGGCCATATTTTACCAATAAAAAGGCAATCTATGGGAGAGACCTATGTTCAGCAGTGGACTTTTATAGGATGAATGAATTTATAGAATAAAGAACCTGAATTTTTGTATTTCACACAAATTAATTAAAAAGGGAAGCCACAGTTATACCATAAAATTATTATTTAAATCTTAGGTAATAGGTAATGTGAACATTTATTTTTTCCTCACTGCAGGACGCCTATAAATTTTTATGGTTTTAAGAATAAAACACGTGTTTATGGAATGTTTAATCATCAGTCTGGTTTGCTGGCCATTGATGATTTTCTGAACAATAAATATTATTTAGAAATAACTGCTTGTTTTTTTAATAATTTACTGCTTTTTAAATAATTTATTGATAGTGTTTGTTTTTGTACAATGAGCTAGGATTAAATCATAAAACCAACGTCAAATTCAACAGGCCGTCAACGTCCTGCTCTTATCCGGTACTAAGTTCATACATTACGCTGTGGCTACTGGGTTGTTTTTTTTTATATTTTCATATTTTGTATCCCCAACTAAAAGGCTTATTACATTACACGATTTATCGGGCCCTGTCCATCGTGTGCCCTGCCTACCAGACAGGGCGCTGCTTATTACACTACGCTAGAAATCGCTTCCTGCCTCAGTTGTTACTCGAACGTGGAAATGATTGCACGTCTAGCATTATGGCGCAAACTTTATCTAAACGTCAAAAAATTGCTTTATTGTTTTTTTTACGTGGTAGAGCCATGCTACAGCTATATTAGTAGTATAGTTGTAGCACGAATGGGTCGGCTCGACCGGGGAAGGACCACACTCTCACAGAATACCAGCGTAAAATAGCAGCTTAACACTGCTGTGTTTCGTATGGTGAGTGTAGAGAACCGGAGACCCTTTTTACTGGAAAAGAGGCATTCCATCTCAGCCCTCACGGGTGACAACGCATCTGCATTTTGATTCGCATACGAGGATAAATGTAGGTGTCTACTTGCTACATATATATTTATCTATGGTGTCTATGGGCCACAGCAACCACTTACCATCGGGTGGACTGTTTGCTCGTTTGTCACCCTATCCTATAAAAAAAACTGGCTGGCGGTAACGTGCAAGGCCAAGCTAAAAAAAGGAAGGAAAGTTAAATGTGGATGAAAAAATATTTGCTCCTCAGAGAAAAACTATCGAATATGCAAATAGTCAGCGTTTTGGACCCAACAGACCTACGAAACTATTTTAAAGAGTAGGTGAAAACCAATTCGACGAGTTATTAAGCTTAGTAACGCCTTTAATAGAAAAAAAATACCTTAATAATTTCTTATATTTACGCGAACACTACACATTGAATAAAACTACTTGTATGGATTCTATCGCGTTTAATTTTTTTTTTTATTAATTCCCGACATTTCGGATGCTTTACAGCAACCAGTCCCCCGTGACCATGGGTGGTAAAGCACCCGAAACGTCGGGAATTAATAAAAAAAATTAAACGCGATAGAATCCGTAAAAGAAGTTTTATTCAAAAGAATACTTTTTTAAGAGAGATTGGTTGTCACTTTACGATTTTGGCCACTGGAAACTCCTATCAAGATTTGATAAGGTATAAACTCCTATCAATATTTGTGTCGATGACATTGAGAAGGATCTTTTTCTTTAGCGAATGACATAAATACGAGTAATGATTTAGAGAGTAGATCGACATAGTAGAACTTTAAATAAACAAACGTGTAGACTCTGCGCATGCGGCCACGCAACTGAGCTCCCTGCCTCCCTGTCTCTTATTACACTACACGATCCACAGCGCGGCAGGGAAGCAGGGCGGTCGGAACCACTCGGTCGCCCTGTTTAGGGACCCTGACTCCCTGTTTCTTATTACACTACCCTGTCCCTGCGGGCAGGGCCCGAGAAATCGTGTAATGTAATAAGTGTTTTAGGGAGTAGATCGACATAGTAGAACTTTAAATAAACGAACGTGTAGACTGTGCGCATGCGGCCACGCAACTGAGCTCCCTGCCTCCCTGTCTCTTATTACACTACACGATCCACAGCGCGGCAGGGAAGCAGGGCGGTCGGAACCACTCGGTCGCCCTATTTAGGGACCCTGACTCCCTGTTTCTTATTACACTACCCTGTCCCTGCGGGCAGGGCCCGAGAAATCGTGTAATGTAATAAGCCTTTTAATCATTACTCGTATTTATGTCATGCGCTAAAGAAAAAGATCCTTCTCAATGTTATCGACATCTACAAAGAAATGCCTTATCAAATCTTGATAGGAGTTTCCAGTGGCCAAAATCGTAAAGTGACAACCAATCTCTCTTAAAAAGTATTCTTTTGAATAAAACTTCTTTTACGGATTCTATCGTGCTTAATTTTTTTTTATTAATTCCCGACGTTTCGGGTGCTTTACCACCCATGGTCACGGGGGACTGGTTGCTGTAAAGCATCCGAAACGTCGGGAATTAATAAAAAAAAATTAAACGCCATAGAATCCGTACACGTAGTTTTATTCAATGTGTAGTGTTCGCGTAAATATAAGAAATTATTAAAGTATTTTTTTTTTTCTATAAAAGGCGTTACTAAGCTTAATACCTCGTCGAATTGGTTTTCACCTACTCTTTAAAATAATTTCGTAGGTCTGTTGGGTCCAAAACGCTGACTATTTGCATATTCGATAGTTTTTCTCTGAGGAGCAAATATTTTTTCATCCACATTTAACTTTCCTTCCTTTTTTTAGCTTGGCCTTGCACGTTACCGCCAGCCAAAGTTTTTTTTTTATAGGATAGGGTGATAAACGAGCACACAGTCCACCCGATGGTAAGTGGTTGCTGTGGCCCATAGACACCAACATTTATCCTCGTATGCGAATCAAAATGCAGATGCATTGTCACCCGTGAGGACTGAGATGGAATGCCTCTTTTCCGGTAAAAAGGGTCTCCGGTTCTCTACACTCACCATACGAAACACAACAGTGTTAAGCTGCTATTTGACGCTGGTATTCTGTGAGAGCGTGGTCCTTCCCCGGTCGAGCCGACCCTTTCGTGCTACAACTATACTACTAATATAGCTGTAGCATGGCTCTACCACGTAAAAAAAACAATAAAGCAATTTTTTGACGTTTAGATAAAGTCTGCGCCATAATGCTAGACGTGCAATCATTTCCACGTTCGAGTAACGACTGAGGCAGGAAGCGATTTCTAGCGTAGTGTAATAAGCAGCGCCCTGTCTGGTAGACAAGGCACACGATAGACAGGGCCCGATAAATCGTGTAATGTAATAAGGCTTTTACATTGTTTAAAATTCCATTGTAAACACCATAGAAATATTTAAAAAGGGAGAAGTGGCAAGGGGGCGTGTCTGTGTCCGCTCGCTATGATCAAAATGCTCAAGTTCTATTCAAATGGCCGTCTCCGCGTATTAGTGTCCTTTCGACCGTAATCGTGAAACAATATCAGAATGCCGTGTTGTTCAGTGGTTTCATGTAAAAACCGAAGCCAAAACAAAAACTTTGTAAATGATGGAATCACTTACCATATGTAAGTACAAGTATTTTACTATATTTATCTTTAAAATCATAAAAAAACAAAAAATACTTAGTAAAATATTTCTTGCTCTTCATGCGTTATTTTTGTTATCAAATATCAATGCGTCTGTACTATTTTGGATTAAACACATTGCTCCTTAACCACTACTTATGTATGTCGCTAAGCGACTGAACAAGCAATGTAAATATTACAAAACCATACTTTATTTATAGGGATGCATCGCGTAGTACGGCCACTGTATCTTGCGATGAGTTAGTGATGTGATTGTGCAGATCCATTAACGTATGCTAACGACAACAATGTCAAATGGCGAATAGCTATTAAAGTTTATTGCATGCCTTAAGCGAAAGCGCAAGGTATGTTCTACTATCGCTTAAAAATTAAGATTCCAACGTTTTGTGCAATGTTTTAAATAAAAAAGGGGTTTTAGTGGCTTATGGTGTGGATTTATCAATTCTGCAAGGCTTGTAATCACGATAACTTTTGAAAATATCAATTGTTCAGCTCAATATATTTTAAAACTCTTCATCTACCATGTGGGAAGCCATTGAATGTAAATGATAGTTTAATTTTGTTTAGTTTAGTTATAATAAATTATTTTCGGCTGCGAAATGGCGAAATTTTCGGTGTATTCAGCAGCCTTTTTTTTTTTTTTTTTTTTTTTTTTTTTTTTTTTTTTTTTTTTTTATAGGATAAGGGTGGCAAACGAGCACACAGTCCACCTGATGGTAAGTGGTTGCTGCGGCCCATAGACATCTACATCTATCCTCTATTACAAATCAAAATGTAGATGCGTTGTCACCCGTGAGGGCTAAGATAGAATGCCTCTTTTCCAGTAAAAAGGGCCTCCGGCCACCTGCACTCACCAAGCGAAACGCAGAGGTAAACCTCTACTTCACGCTGGTTTTCTGTGAGGTCGTGGTACCACCCCGGTTCGAGCCGGCCCATCCGTGCGACAGCAAAAGTTGCCGCGTGGCTCTACCACTGTCTATGAAAAGTTATTACTAAATGGAATAGAGACTGCGTCACTCAGTTCGGTTTCATTCTTCGGTTCTCAGACATTGTTTGGTTGTTTGCAGCGGCTCAAAAAGATCGCTGTACAAATACACAATATTCGAATAACCAAATTTCTTAAATACTTGATTATAATAATAATGAGAGATTTTTTATTACAATATTTTAAAAGCACAGAATAAATAATAGTAATACGTACTAAAAGTAAGTAGTATCAATTTTTTCGTCATGGGTGTCATTTTCATGCTTTTCGAGAGTGTTGAAGCCGATAGGGTTGTCAAAATGTAAATTCAAGATGGCGGCTGCAATAAGTATAAATTTTTTCATCATGGGTGTCATTTTCATGGTTTTCGAGGGTGCTGAAGCCAATAGTGCTGTCGAAATGTAAATCCAAGATGGCGGCTGCAATAGGTATAAATTTTTTCATCATGGGTGTTATTTTCATAGTTTTCGAGGGTTTTAAAGTCGATAGTGCTGTCGAAATGTAAATCCAAGATGGCGGCTGCAATAGGTATCAATTTTTTCATCATGGGTGTCATTTTCATGGTTTTCAAGAGAGTTGAAGCCGAAAGGGTTGTCGAAATATAAGTCCAAGATGGCGCTCTGCAATAGGTATCAATTTTTTCATCATGGGTGTCATTCTCATGGTTTTCGCTGGTGTTCAAGCCGCTAGTACTGTCGAAATGTAAATCCAAGGTAGTGGCTGCTATAGGTATCAATTTTTTCATCATAGGTGTCATTTTCATGGGTTTCGAGGGCGTTAAAGACGATAGTGCTGTCGAAATGTATTTAAACTACTTTTAAAAATTCCGTATAATCATGTTATACGTAATTTTTTAATGCACACAGGGCATGCCCAATTGGATTTACCAATATTTTTTCAATTTGTCAACCATTTCAATCAGGTGGGAAGACTGATGTGACATAATGGTATTTAATTCTTTTGATTATTTTCACCGTTTACTTAATACACTGAATGCGTAACCAGCGATTGTAAAGTAAGTTGCTTAAATAATTAGGTTAATTGTGGCGGCGCTGTCGTCGCGCCACAAGCGAAACACATCGAAACCTAAATCGCGCTATCAAAGTTCCGAAATTAAAGCAGCATATATAGAATAGCTCCGAACTACCAATCGGAGCGCTGGCCGCTCCCCGGGCAGAACACCTTGCCCGGCGGGAGATCTCCCCTTTTCCTTCCACCCGCTACAGTGGTGACCAACCGACGTGATATGAACACGCAACCAAAAATTTCGGAAACTACAATTTCAAAAACTTCGTCATCGTCCTCAAGTACCCCCATTCATTCGCTCCCGAGCAGATATTATCTGCAGTCTTCACATTCTGCAAGCCATCTAGCTTTACAAAGGTTCATCGCAGCACTGGAATAATAATGCTTCCTGTTCCTTCAAGCTACTCTCTGCGCTACAGTGTTCGGCACGGCTCTGAGCCTTACTGCTCGCCTCTGCTTCACGGCACTCTCGCAGATTACTTGCCTTCTTCTCGACTCACCGCAGACTACAAGGCAATCCCTGGCACTTGCTCCGACTCATCGTTCTCACCGGCATCACTTGCAAGTGCGTAGTACGGCATGCATTACACACCGGCATATCATTCGCACCGGCGCCACTTGCCCTTACGCACACAGCATGCATTCCCCACCGGCATTTAAGGACGCACCGGCAATCGGACTGCACTATCAACCTCCGGTCTGAGCAGGGGGGTGATGTGGCGGCGCTGTCGTCGCGCCACAAGCGAAACACATCGAAACCTAAATCGCGCTATCAAAGTTCCGAAATTAAAGCAGCATATATAGAATAGCTCCGAACTACCAATCGGAGCGTAGGCCGCTCCCAGGGCAGAACACATTGCCCGGTGGGAGATCTCCCCTTTTCCTTCCACCCGCTACATTAATCATCGGTGAAGTGTTTTGGGTTGAATTATATTATATTATGCCTTATCTTCGTGCTAATTCCATACTTTTAACAATATCTTGACTAACCACAGGTTTTTGTAACAAAAGCTTGCCAGGTACATGGTGAGGTTAAGAAGTTGCGCAGGATATATGTAAATGATAAATAAAATATTATCGTACGTTTTCAGCTTCCCAAAAGACGCTAATTTAAAAAAGGAATGGATTGTTGCCACAGGAAGGCCACCAAACTGGTTCCCTACAAAAACTAGTACCATATGCTCAACTCATTTTGAGGCAGAAATGTTCCAGCCTCTAAACAAAAATCGCAGGCTCTTTGAATGGGCGATTCCAAAATTAAAACTTCGCCTTATATTTGCAGAAGTGTGTTAAATTTTATTTAATAACTGACAGCTATTGTCATATTTTAGGGCATTCATTAAATCAGTCATTCAACTTTTCAGGATTCTATAGAACCTTTAGCGCCGGGATATTCTAATCAAAAGTGTAATGTAAGTTAACATCATTTCTATTTGACCTATCGCTATGACAATTAAATATTAAGAGATAAAAATAATTCTGACCATTTTTTTACTAGTGTTCGCGTAAATATAAGAAATCATAATTCTTACCATGTTTGATTTTAAATCAAACATCAGAATAATTGTGACGTAGTATTATTATTGAATATTATGCGTTTTGTTTGTTTAGCCACCAAAAGAATTGAATGTTTTGGAGTTATCTGACCACTTAAACTCGCCTGATGAACGAACTGATGAGCCACTTTTAAAATATATACGCCTAAATATTCACCAAAACGAGAAAGAAAGTCAGAAACCATAGAACCAGCATTTGGTAAGAAGTTTTTAGAATTTGAGTTTCACTTAAAAATAAAATTGTGGATGTAACGCTATAGTTTTATATGTTTTTCTATTTTTTCAGAAACCAACAAATGATTCCGATAATATTCACATAGTAGAAACACCCCGTAAACGGAGACTGCGCATCAAAATTTGTCAGAGAGAAAAGATGATAAAAAAACAAAGATTTCAAATTAAGCGACTTCAAAAGAAAGCTTGTTGATATCGTAAAAAAATTGCAAATTTAAAAGATATTTTGACAGATATTGAAAAAAAAGTTTGTGAATCCAGACCAATCCGCACATTTAGAGAACCTCGGTGTAAATGATTTAATAGCTCGTTACAAAATTACTACACTAAATATTCAATATATAAAAACCAAGTATTGGCCAGGTCTTAGAACATTCGCAAAAATTAAGGGTGCAACCCTTCATTTTTACACGCCGAAGGCATACGAATATGTACGAAAAAAATTCCAGACTTGTTTACCTCACTCCCGCACTATAAAAAAATGGTACGAATCGGTCGATGCGCAGCCAGGTTTTACACAGGAATCTTTTAAAGCATTGAAGTATAAAGCTCGTAATACTGACTATAAATTGCTATGTAACTTAGTAGTGGACGAAATGGTGATCAGGTGGCGTTTTGAGTGGGACGGTAAAAAAATGCATGGATATGTTGATATATGTAACTAAGGAACATCAGGCGATTACTTGGCAGAAGCTAAAGAGGCGCTTGTATTTTTGGTTACAGCTATTAACGGAGCATTCAAGCAGTAGGGTATTTTCTTGTAGCCGTTGTTACAGGAGAACAGCGATCGAAGTTAGTAAGGCAGTGTTTAGAGTTACTGGAAGAAACTGGCATTGAAGTAACTTCGCTGACCTTTGACGGTTGTCCAGCAAATATTTCCATGGCAAAGGAACTTGCTCTAGGAATAAGGAATATGCTCACTAAACATAGAAAATATTAAATCTTACTTTTATCATCCCCTTACAAATAAACCAATATTTATATTTCCTGATCCATGTCATATGCTCAAATTAAGAAATGCGTTTGAAGCATATGGCGTAATATGGTAGACGATATAGATAGCAATATAAAATGGTGTCATTTAAAACAGCTGAATGAAATTCAAGAGAAGGAAAAATTTCACTTAGCAAATAAATTAAGACGAGGATACATATTTTTCAAAAATCAAAAAATGAAAGTGCGATTAGCGTCCCAATTGTTTAGTGAGCCTATGCCCTGATGTTTTGTGCTGAACGTAACATGCCCCAATTTCAATCTGTTGATGGAACTGTTAAGTTTTAAAAAATATAAATAATCTTTTTGACGTTTTAAATTCTAGAAACATGATGCAAATTAAATTCAAAAAAAAAAAAAACACTTTTTCCTGGTAATAAACTACAAACATTTGAATTTCTTGCTAGAACTGAGACTTATATAAATTTCTTACAGTTAATAGATGGGTTGAAATTAATACAGTCTAGTAGAAAAACTGGATTTATAGGTTTTTTAGTGTGTATAAAAAGCGTAAAAGGTATTTATATACATCTAATTTAACAAGATCAAAAACTGCAGTATCTACCAGCCTATAAAATAAGCTAATGTTTGGCCACATTCGTGCTCATGGTGGGTGTAACAGTAATCTAACAGCCCCACAATTTCAGGCTATTTATAAAAAATTATTAGTTAAATCCGAACTGAGAGACATAGATAAAGGCAATTGCATATCTCTCGAAGAAATATGTTTTTAACTTGCTCGTCTGCTGTGCAACACATAAATGTAACAATGGAACCACGTTATACTGATGAAAGTGATGATGACAATATTTATCAGCTATACGAGCAGGCACCATTTGATGAAGAAGTTAGTATGCTTGTTCAAGACTTGTCGGAATTTGGCTCGCAGGCTATTTCGTACATTGCTGGTTTTGTTGTGCATAGTTTAATAAAAACTTTAAAATGTGAGACATGTGCTGATGCACTACTTGCCGACAAACATGAAGAAGCACATCGTTTTATAAAGTATAAGTCAGTCGTCGTGATTTGTAAGATAATGGAAATAATTATAAAAATAACGTGTCTCACCGATGATAAATTAACAGTTAAAACTAAAAATGTCAAACAGGAACTCATGGCAAAGGCTTTGCCACATTTCATAGGATTAGATATTTTTAATAATGTTAAGTTTCACCAATTTGAGCAGTGCCCTATGAATAATCACATAATATTTCTTATAAAAGCAGTCATGGAAAAATACATTAATTAAATTAATGTATTTTTCCTGATTACACTATGATTACACTATTTGATAAAAAAATGCCACCCCAAAAATATCAAAGCGTCAAGTTTCTGCACAAATACTTCTACTTTACGGGTCAGTGAGCCACCATAACAGGGTTCCAAAATACGTACTTTTTCAATACGCTATGACAATCTTAACCAACATAACCGGAATTTTTTATTGATTTAATTTTTTTAGGTTATGTACTTAATAATTTACGTTGAGCTACATATTGTTTATTTTTATTATAATATTTACCGTGCATATCGTTTTTTATTTATTTTATTTTCAATTTTAGTGCAACTTTGGTATAAATGGAAGAGAATCGATAACTTTCCAATTTAGTCAATCACTAATGTATATGAAAAAATTAATGCACAGCACAACGATAGCGATCGATATTTTTGTGCAAGTAAGTAGTACGGTGCATGGTAAATGCACGCTGTTTTTGTAAAGATACGGCTTATAATTGATTGAGTAGTACGTATCTGATTTATAAAATGCGGATGTGTGCGCGACTGCGTGTCTATTGCTTTTACTGATCTGCAAGTGTAGTAGTAGGCGTGTGGTAGGTGCCAACTGGAGACACCGGGTTCTGGCGCCTCTTCACGTTGGCCAACACAGTGGCGAATGTGTTGGCAGAGTTATTGGCCAAGAAATTGTGATCGCGTCCACACGTTGGAAGGTCGTTCAGTTTGCTTCGGTTCAGGCCAATGTGCGGACGAATTTATTAAAATGATTATTGATGCGCTAACGGCTGCTGCGGTTTATTTATTCACGGCATACCACTATTTCTTTATTTAATTTTCACTATTTTGAATATTTAATATTTTTAATATAAATTTTTAATATTTCTTTATTATAAACTAACGTTATATAGATAAGTAAACTATATAAACATTAACACACCTAGGCATAGGTATAATTAACTAAGGCCTGGAAAATATTCGAAGCCTGTCTATGAAACTGTTGTAAAATTTTTATTAAACAAAACCTTTTTAAAAAGGGTTATTATATAATTATAGAATATGTTTATTTATTTACACTTTCACGCACAAATAGTATATATGGCGAACATAATAATAATAATAAATAATTTATTTCGTCAAACATTAAAGTTACATAATATGATCAGTGATCGAGGTCACCTAGTAAGCAAAATAATGCCTGTAACAGGTGACTTCGCTCTTCCATAGCTAAAAATTACAGTATTATTAACGAAATAAAGTAACTAATAGGGAATAATAAAGACAGTAAAAACATGATTTTAGTATCCTACTTTTTAATTTGATTTTAATATATATTATATATTATAGATTTTAAGATATTTAATAAATCAATAAATACATCAATAAATAAATTAATACATCAATCACTACAACGTGAATGTGTATAAGATAAGGGTGATCAAAAAGAAATGGAAAAAAGAAATTTTATTTCTTGACGGCTCCGTGGCGTAGTGGCTTAGCAATGAATTGCTGCCCTGGGGGCCGCGGGTTCGAATCCCGCACGGAACAAGTATTTGTATAGCCTGCACATAATTTCTTCGGGTCTGGATGTTTGTCCTTATGCAATTTATGTTTCTAAACTGCCTCCACGATACAGGAGAAAACCCTAGTGTATAATAACATTTTTTTTAAAAAGACTTGTGTTTTACAAAGAATTTTCGGCTTGGTAGGGCTCTATAAAGCGAAAAGTTTTTTCATTGGTCATTGTTACTGCCGTTATGTAGACACTAGTTACGATGCGTGCATATAAAATTTAAATCAGGTGCGTGCAATCACTCTGGGAGCTCGTAGCAAACTGAACGTGCGGCCAACGTGTGGACGCGACGGCCAATACTCTGCCACAACCCTTTGATCTTTTGCAAAAAACCGACACCACACGGATCTCGCGCCAGCTTGTGGGCCATCGTTCCAATACGTACCAACGTAGCTTAAACACCCGCTCTACACGATGGCCATTGTTGTTGGCCAACACATTCGCCAGTGTGTTGGCCAACGTGAAGAGCCGCCGTTCCGATACAATTTCAACCTACCGGGCATATCTCCTTCTTTTATTATATCTATGGTAAACCTAAGATTTTTTAATACGTCTTTGTGGTAAACACAATAACTTACCCAACATTTTATTTGTGAGGTTGTACAAAAGTTTATTTAAATGTTTTGAAAATGTGTTTCCTAACTTTGCTTTTCTTTTCTTTGTTTTTAAAAGAAACGTTTCTTTTTATAGTACTTAGGATTTCCTCCTGCATCGTCGTCGTTTTGTGTCTGGCGCCGGGGTAATAAGTGTGGCATACCGCTCAAACTTTGAACTTTGTTTACGATGTGCGCAGAAAAATCGACACTGGATGCTAAACTGCAAAATGTGTGTTCATTGTTCAAGTTTTGCGCACATACTCATATGGTAGCGACTTTGTATTTGTAGCTAATTCTGGTGCCGACCGGCTTAATAGTGCGAAAAGCAAAGCCGTTAAATCGCAAAGAAAAACGAAGCGAAATGTTATTTTGTCCGTATTAGTACTAGGTCAATTGTGCGCAGTTTGTCCGTTCTATTTCTTCTATAGATAATTCCGATTTTTATAGAATAAGGGAGAAAAACCTAATAATAAGTGGATGCTGTGATCCATCGACATCTACATTTATCCTCGATTAAGAATCAAAATGCAGATTACTTGTTACCCCTGGGGACTGAGATGGAATGCCTCGTTTCTATTTCTAGTAAAAAGGGTTTGCTTTACACTCATAATACGAAACACAGTTTACGCTGGTATTCTGTGAAAGCGTGCTCCTTCCCCGGTCGAGCCGACCCATTTATGCCACAACCATAAAATAGCTGCAGCATGGCTCTACCACGTATAATACTGGTAACTCTGATTATATTCCTATCGCGCTTACTTTCAAGCAGAATTTTTAGTAGCTCGTATGTTATCGTTATTTTCAAAGAAAGTAGGTTCTCAATATTTCTGAAATTACGCTATGTCCGCTCTGCTGAAATTTTAAAATTAATATTAGTAAAAATAATACATAGTATATGATTCTTAATCTTTAATATGTATTATGTTTGTATACAACATACTACATGAGTACGCCATAACTAGAGCTACACTTCAATTTAAAATAATAACACCGGTGTTATTATTCTAAGTTGTAGTGCTTAGAATAATAACACCGGTGTTCTTATTCTAAGTACTACAAATAGAAACAGAGGCGATGAAGTTACAAAAATAATTTTAAATACCTATAAGTATGTGGTAAAATAATTTCATTCTTTTTCTATTATTTCTGAAATTATCAATTTAACGTATAAGGTAAGTATATTGTATATTGTAAAACCACATAAATATATGTTCCGTACTTATTCCATATGAGTAAAGAAACCGAATTCGGTTTTCTACTCATGTGCTTATTCTTCGCGTGGACCGATAACTCTATTTTTAGTGAATTTAAGGTTAGCGGTCGATGAACTGATGGCTTTATTTAGTTGCAACGGTCGACGCCCGGTCTATCCGGCAGCGGGATTTATTTTGTTCATCGATACAGTAGTTTGCGTTTTGTCATATATATTTGGTACTTGTCACGGATTTTTTTAAATAGTCTATATCTTAAATCTTCTATATTTTAAATAGTAGATAAGTACTATGAATATTGCACATATACCTACATTCTTTGGTCTTTAGATATGAGTATTGACTGTATGTAGATGTAGTACCTATATATTATTTCAATGATTTAGGTTCTGGTAAGGGGTAGAGGCGTAGCAAATTTATAAAACCACGTGCTATTTTCTCTTTAATCTAGATATCCTACTAGGTACCTATGCTTAGTATAGTAAAAAAACGAAAGTGTAAGATTTTTTCGTCACTACCCCTTGTGCCATAGTGTATTTTATTTTAAATGACGCTTCATTTTAATAGACGCTAGTAATACATTTATTTGTATTTGTTAATCAATAATATAATACTTACGTTCATCAATAATAAGTAACTTCGTTCCAACCATTTTAAGTTTGAGACGGACATGGAAAGTTACATAAAAGACAAACGTGTGTGTGGGCAACTTAAATTCAAACAAGGAGTACAAGTAGGTATGAACTTGCTTGCCAAAGTTATAATTTTGTGATAGAAAGATCCGGATATAAAAAGGTAGCAATTGAATGTTTTGGCCTTAATAATGCATAATATTTCACTCATTCATAGAAATCCGAACCGATCGCATAATTTTCACGTGTGGATCTGAAATATAAAAAGGAAAAATAACTCTGAGTGCATCCCCGTATCAAATTAATCAACCTAGAAATTACATCTATATGGGAACTAGAACGAAACTCATCATAATGAGTCAGTTGCTGATCACGTACCTGGACACAAATGTATAAATAATAAAGTCTTCAATAGCTTCTTTGGACTGAGCGATTGAATGCGGTAAAAACGAGTCTGCCCGTGTGTACGATGACGTCATGGCTATTGTTTATCTGTGGCCATGGCCAGTAACAAGCGGCGGCGGCGGCACCGCGTTATGGATAATTTAGAAAACTTGTAGGTGTACCTAATAACTTTATCATTTCTAGACCGATTTACACTATTTAAAAACTTATCATCAGAAATGCATAACACATTTATCTAAATAGATTTTTTATAGAAGAGGGGGGGGGGGGGAGCAAACGAGCATGCGGCTCACCTTATGGTAAGTGACTACCGCCGCCCATGAACAACTGCAACACCAGGGAGGGAATTGCAGATGCGTTGCCGGCCTTTTAAAAAGGTGTAGACTCTTTTCTTGAAGGTCCCTAAGTCGTATCGGTCCGGAAAAATCGCTGATGGTAATCGATTCCACAAGGAAGTTGTGCGAGAAAGAAATCTTCTAAATCGCACGGTGGTGGACCGCCAATCATTCAGGTGGTATGGATGGTATCGCAAGTTTTGTCGCGATCCAGATGGTGTGGATGGTATTGGGAGTTCTGCTACGACGTGCGTTCGTGAAATTTGGCGGCAGGGATTAATCCGAACAATTCCTCAGAGCACTCCCCGTGGTAAATGTGAAAGAAAATCCAAAGGGATGCAACATCTCTTCGCAGCGCCAATGAATCGAGCCGATCGGAAAGGACTCGGTCGTCGACGTTTCGAGCCGTTCTGCGCTGGATGCGGTCAAGTGCTTCCACTGGGGAGCCCCAGCCCAGAGATGGGAACAGTATTCCATGTGAGGCCGAACCTGCGCCTTGTAAAGTGTGCCGGCATAAAATACTGTCCGCTCTGCTGAGCA